CACACATTATTGTTTCAAATAAGAGGGGTGTTTTTATTTATATTAATAAGTGAACATTAATAAAGATAATTTTGTTAAAAAATAATATCCTAAGGTTAGTAAGAAGGCTCTGAAAGCTGGGCAAGGAGCACACTCCTATCATTCCAGCACTCAGGGAGGCAGAGGTCAGCAGATTTCCTTGCGTTCCAGGCCAGCCAGGTCTACAAAGTGAGTCCAGGACAGACAAGGCTTGCCTCAAAAAAAAAAAAAAAAAAAAAAAAAAAAAAAGAAAGAAAAGAAAAGAAAAAAAAAGGCTCTGCAGATTAAAGCACTTTACACTAAATCTGATGGCCTAAGTTTGATCCCAAGGACCCACCTGGTGAAAGGAAAGACCCTACTACAACTTGTCCTCTGAGTCACCATATGAGTGCTATGGCACATGCATACACATAACATATACAAATTAAATAAGTGTAATAAAAAATAAGGAATGAAGCCGGGTGTGGTGGCCCATACCTGTAATCCCAGCACTCAAATAGGCAGAGTAGGCAGATTTCTAAATTCGAGGCCAGCCTGGTCTACAAAGCAAGTCCAGGACAGCCAGGCTACACAGAAAAGCCCAAATCCCCCTCCCCTCAAAAGAAGTAATGAGCTTGAAGCTACTTAGAACTTTTCTATAGTCGGAGTAGATAGTATATGTTCATGTGTTCTATTTGCTGGTTTATTTTTATTTTTATTTTTTATCAGTGTGACCAAATACCTAGCACAAGCAACTTAGGAGGGTTTATTATCATTAGGGTGGAAAAGAAGGACCTCTAAAATTCAATTTTTTTTAATATTTTTTTTTATTTTTAAGTAGTTTTATACATTCACTTGTATCCCAGCTGTAGCCCTCTCCCTCTTTCCCTCCCAATCTCCCCTCCCTCCCTCATCTGCTCCCTGCCCCCTTCCGAGTCCACTGAGAGGGGGTGTCCTCCTCTCCTTCCGCCTGGCCCTAGCTTATCAGGTATCTTCAGGATGGCTGCAATGTCCTTATCTGTGGCCTAAAATTCAATATTTAAATAAATTAGAAATTCAAAGTCACATTAAAGTGACAAGCGGATACTCATGGGTGACTCTTGCTAATGAATGTGAAAAATCAAGCTAAATGTCCAGTGTCAGCAACAAGACAAATCATCTGAGGGCATTTTCCCAGTCAATCCACCCCTCTGCACTGCTCAGACCTGGTGAGCCATTTCCCCATTTCTACATTAGCTCTGCCCAGCTTATCTAATGCTCTGGATGTGCATTCTTAGAGTTTCCCATTATGATCTACCGTCATAATACCGTCGGTTTCTGTGTGTGTCTGCCTAGACAAGTTTTACTTACATTTGAAAGCTGGCATTCACTCCTTACGTCACTCTCTGAGCATGGTTTCTACAGCTCTACACTTTGGGAGAGGGATGTGTTCTCCATTCTCCATTTGCTGATGAAGTTGGTTTACTCCTACTTTCCAGGGACAAGTTGGCAAAGTGTTGGTTATTTGTTGAAGCTGGACCTCATATACTATTCTGTTATACTATGTGGTTATGCAAAATAGAAGAACAGAGGAGGGAGCACCTGTCCCCTTGGATCCTCATTGTTTAAAAAAAAAAAAAAAAAACTTTCTGTGACAACGGAAAGCTGCTAGATCAGCGCTGCCCAATGTTTCACTAGCTACTGTCATGGGCACCTGGAATACATCCAGGACAATTCAAGAGAGTACAGTTTCAATTTGTTTAATTTTAATAAAAATGCAGTGAATGTCTTCTCTAGATGTTGGAAGGTAGCTATAGTGCCTTACTATTAAAACTCAAAATTAATAAGCTCTGCCTGTAATTCCCCAGCACGCAGGAGACCGGAGCAGGAAGATCCTGGAGTCCAATCATGGGCAGCTGGATAATGGACTCTATAGTGAGACCCTGTCCCCAAAAAGAGGACAGAGTGCGGTCATGAATCAAATCCCTGCTCATCTGTTGTTTTGTCTGTCCAATCTCCCTTTCTTTTGCTTTCCAGGCCGACTCTGCCTTTCTTGGGAGTGGAAAGCTAAGGATCTCATGTATGCCAGGATCACCACAAACTCAGTACTTCTCATCCTCCTGCCTCCCAAGATACAGATTACAGATGTGCACTACGCTAGGTTTATGAGGTGCTGAGGTTCAAAGCCAGGGCTTTGCGCTACATCTTCACCACAGGGGTGTGGCAGCAGGTCCTGGATATAACAAACTTCTTCCTGGACAGGGCCAGGACAATCATAACTCTCACTTGGAAACTTCTGTCCTAGTGCTTCAGTTACTGTTCTATTGCTGTGAGGAAACACCATGACTAAAGCAACTTAAAGGAGCATTTAATCTAGGGCTTGCTTACAGTTTCTGAGGTAGGTACATGACCGACAGTGTGAGGGGCATAGCAGCAGGCAAGGAGGCATGGTGCTGGCACAGTAGCCGAGAGGGCTTTTGAGATCTGAAAGGTGGAGGTAGAGAATGAGAGAAAGAGAGGGGGGAGAAGGGAGCGAGAAGTCTCGGCCTAGTGTGGCTTTTTGAAATCTCAAAGCCCAACCCCAATGGCATACCTCCTCCAAGAGCCACACCTCCTAATCCTTCTCAAAACAATTCCACTAACTGGGGACCAGTGTTCAAACATGGACCTACAGGGGTCTTTCTCATTCAAACCACCACAACTAAGAAGTGCAAGATCCGGAAGTTGTTAAAGACAGAACCCTGGACCTGTCAGCCATGTTCAAAGGCTATGGAGAGAGTAAGACATGGGCCTGGGTCATGAGCAGAATAGTAAGACATGTAACACACTTAAAACGACCGAGACATTAGTCAATTAAGGGTGCATACACTTCTCTGCACAAAGTAAAAATTGAGTAGCTCTCAGTGTAAATTCTTTACACTTTCAGAATAGAACAGGCCACGATTAGCAAAAAAAAAAATAGTGACAGAGAGATGGCCATCCATGGTGGTACACACCTTTATGTTCCAGCACTGGAGAGGCAAAGGCAGATAGAGCTCTATGAATTCAAGGCCAGCCTGGTCTATATAGTGAATTCTAGGACAACCAGGGCTATGTAGAGAGACCCTGTCTCAACAACCCCCACCCCAAACAGTGGCATATTATTCCACTGCCACAATTTTTTTTTAATTTTTAAAATTATATTTATTATTTATTTTGTATCTATGTGAGGTAGGCAAACACAAGCATACCAAGGAGTGTGTGTGTGTGGAGAAGAGACACCAACCCGAAGGCAGAAGCAGGTTCTTCCTTCCACCACATGGGTCCTGGGGATCAAACTCAGATTGCCAGTTTTGGTAGCAAGTCCATTAACTCAGTGTGCTATCTTGTCTGCCCTCAACTGCTGTTCTTTATCGTAGACTGAGGTAGCTTTTCAATTGCTCTTTGTAAATTTTAATTTCTGTATATGAGCATTCTGCCTGCAAGCATGTTTATGTGCCAACTTTCTTGCCTGGCACCTGAGGACAGAGGAGGACATTGGATCCTCTGGAGCTGAAGTTAGATGGTTGTAAGATGCCATATTTAGTGCTGAACCTGAGTCTCTGTGGAAAAAGCCAATGTTCTTTACCTTGGAGCTATCTCTCCAGCCCCTTCAAACGATTTTTTAAAGCAAAATGATCAGCTCAGTTACGCATCAAATCTCATCAACTGAAGTGTAGTATAAAAATAGCATAGAAAAACAAGATAAAAGAGCTATCATAGAGTAATGGATGCAATATCATGAGGGGTATAAATCACAAACTCAGCAGGGTGTGGTGGCGCATGCCTTTAATCCCAGCACTTGGGAGGCAGAGGCAGAGGCACATGGATCTGTGAGTTCAAGACCAGCCAGGTATACAAAGTAAAAAGAAACTTATTCACCCGCTTCAGTTGTTGTCTGGGAGGCTTACTGCCTCTGTCTGCTAACCTAGGCCTCATCCTGGAAGCTTCTAGTCTTCATAGAATCTAACCATAGGCCTAGAATGTTTTCAGCCTCTGAGACTTACTGCTTAATAAGCTCATCCTTTCTAGCTCTTTCTGAGCTCTGGGCTGGCTGGTTCAATTCTCTTGAGTCTGTGCTGTTCTGGCACAAACTCCTCTCCCAGCTGATGTATTCAATCTGGCTTCTCTCTCAGCCTCTGAATTGCTCTGCTTGGCCTCAAACTAACTCCAACAATCTGCTCTAATCTCCTGGCTCCTTCTCGTTCTCTGGATCATTTGGTCTTCACCTGAGGTCTCTCGCTGCAACCCATCTCTGTCCATCACTGTCCTGGTAAAACTGCTTCCTCTCTCTTTCTCTGCATTGCTCAAGTAGCTTTCCCTTCCACTCTTCTGAGAGTTGGGCATATCCTATTCTGTCAAATCTTTCTCTGATTCATCACTATTTCTGCCATTCAATTAGAAATTTTTTCAAACATGGGTACTTTCTTCTACATACTAACTTTACCATCATTGTTTGGGATTAAAGGCATGTACCACCATGCCTGGATCTAAGCTTTTTTCTTTTTTTTTTTTTTTTTTTGGGGGGGGGGGGTTGTTTGAGATAGGTTTTCTCTGTGTAGCCTTGGCTGTCCTGGACTCACTTTGTAGACCTGCCTATCTCTGCCTTCCACGTGCTGGGATCACAGGCGAGCACCTGGCTTTCTTTACCTGAAACTTCCTCTATATCAGGCCAGCCTTTACCTTAGAGATCTGCTTGCCTCTGTCTCCTGGGATTAAAGACATATCTGTATTCCAGCTAGATCACATAGACCTAGGAGGTCTTTAGATATGATGATTAAGATCTTGCCAGAGCAGTCATGTTCTGAATTATGCCTTTCCTGGGAGTGGAAAGCTAAGGATCTCATGTATGCCAGGATCACCACAAACTCAGTACTTCTCATCCTCCTGCCTCCTAAGATACAGATTACAGATGTGCACTACGCTAGGTTTATGAGGTGCTGAGGTTCATAACCCTGCCTCAAAATAAATAAAAAAACCAAACAAATAAATCACAAACTCAAGTATTAGCATGTTTAATTTTCCATTCTTTATTCCTTGTATTAACAGATTAAACAGGTAGTATTTCCCCAAGTCCTGATTTAGAGAAGTTAAGAAGCACCAATAAGTTTCAGAGAAACATTCAGTAACCTCCTTAAATGCAATTCTAATCCTTATTACAAGCTACACAGAATAATAATTTAATGCAGTAAGCTAAATACACACAAAGCCTGCATATCCTGAACTACAAAATGGTGTGCACAGCCACATATGGGTTTAATCAACTACACATCTTCACAATGAAAACCCTTACATTCATGTCAACAGACCACAACCCACAATGCCTGTCCTGACCTCAGCTTCGTAAGCTTTGCCATTCCTACTATCGCAGGCATTTGTTTTTAGAAGCTTTCCTGCCTTCAGTGAAGTTGAGGTCCACTAACACTTAGCAAATATCAGTTTCTTAAAAAAAAAAAAGTGTACTTTACAAAAAACTAGTAAAACAAATGATCTATTAAAACATAAACACTCTCATAAGAACTTTCAGTTCCTTAAAAGAAACACAAGCCAGTTCATTGTTTTTACTAACGTCTCCCGCCACTGTCTAAAAACTTGGATATATACAGCACACCCCTCAGCTCTCACAAAGGTCAAAAGGATGCTTAGATTGCACATCATGCGGCTATGGTACACAGCTTAGAATGTACAAGTCTACCTAAACACTGCTTCCCCTTTCAGATGAACTGCATGGTTTGTTAAACTTTAAGCTAGGAGTCATTACAACCCAGAAAACAACTCAATTACGATAAGATAAAGGAAGGCAATAAAAGCTCAAGTTATAAATCTAAAATTGAGGACCTCTTTCATCACATGCCTAGCCATAACAATATTACTGCAGACAATTATGATGTATGGTTTCCACAGAAAAATATCAAAATCTCAGAAATTACAACAGGGTCAAGATCCATAGTTGGCTTCATCAAAAGCTTTTCTAGCCCGTTTCAACTCTTCATTCATAGTAAGCAAGTCTTTAACTCTAGCAAATTTCCTTGGGTCCTTTCGTATCAGGAAGACAATATCTTCAACTTGCACTCGACCTTGTCTTCCAATCGACATTGCCTTGTGAGTCTATGACAAGGAAAACATTAATTTTGAAAAGTCAAATATTTCTGTGTTTTAATTTGCTATTAAACACATTGGTGTTTACACCTGTGAACCATCTCTCTGGTCATCTCCCTACCCTTTTTCTTTTTGTCTTGTTCTGTTGGTTTTTTTGAGACAGGGTTTCTCTGTGTGGCCTTGGCTGCCTTGGAACTCATTTTGTAGAGCAGGCTGGCCCCAAATTCAGAGATCCACCTGCCTCTGCCTCCCCAAGTGCTGCTGGGATTATAGGCGTGCACCACTGTGTCCTGCCCAGGTTGGGATTTTTAAATTGTAGTGATCTTCCTATCTTGTCTCTGGAATTCGGGGATTACAGGTATGAGCCACTATGCCAGGTGTCACCTAATGTGGTGCTGGGGACTGAACTGAGGGCCTCACACATGCTAAGGGTATGATCTACCGTAGCTACTGCTAATGTTTTTCTTCAATGATGAATTAAATACTTGCAAATGTGTGCAGGCCTTCGCATATATTAGGCAAGTATTCTTCCACCAAGCTCAGCCTTAGGCCTTGCTGTGTAGAAGGAATCTCTTATATCTGTATGGTAGCATCACCTGTCAATAAAAAGCTAATGACCTACTATAGCAGAGGCAGGAAATAGGAGGTGGGACACCCAGGAGGCAGAACTGATTCTTGGACAGAACATGGAAGATTCAGCTGGCAAGATGTGAAGAGGACAGATGCATGTTACCCAGGTACCCAGGCACGTGGCAGAATGTAGATTAGTATAAATGGGTTATTGTAAGTTATGAGCTAGTCAGGGAAGAGCCTAGCTATATGGCCTAGGTATGTGTATAAGTATTTTGAATCTCATGAGTCATTACTCTGGGAGCTTAGAGACTGGAGGAAAACCCCTGAAACATTGCTGAGTAATTTTTTCACTCTTATTCTATAGTAAGGAAATAATCCAAAATAAAGGGTGAACACTCATAAGGACTAAAAACAACCAAACTTAGTAACCCCAAACGAAGGAAAGTGGCCATTCACGATGCCAGACTGGAGCTGGAGGCATGGCTCAGATGCTAAGAGCACCAGATGACCCAGATTCATTCCCAGCACCCACATGGCAGCTCACAACTGTAACTCTAGTTCCAGAGTATCTGGAACCCTCACACACATTCAGACAAAACAAACAAACAAAAACAAGGCACATAAAATAAAAGATAAATCTAAAAAAAAAAAAAAAAAAAAAAAAAAGATGCCAGACTCAGGGTTGGAGATGTAGCTTGGTGACAATACATTTGCCAAGCATTCAAGAGGCCCTGAGTTCAATCAGTAGCACCACAGAGGAAAACCACCTGTAATAAGTAACTCACACAATAAGGTTATGATAATCAGAAAGCAGTCTGAGCTCAGCTGCATACTCTGTCTAGCACACATAAAGCCTTGGGTTTGATCACCAGCAGTGAATAAATAGGCCTGATGACACAGCCTATAGCCCCAACACTCAGGAAGTAGAGGCAGGAGGGTCAGAACTTCAAGATTGTCTATAGTTATACAGTGAGGCCAACCTGAAATACATGATACCTTGTCTCAAGAGGGGAAAAAAAAAAAAAAAAGAAATTCAGACAAATTTTTTGTAGCTACTAAAATGATTATGATAAAAAAACAAGAAATGCATATTGTAAAACACAATAGTAAAATGAATGTTACTATTATGATATTAGGTGCCTTAATTTTAATTTTTGTTTTGTTTTTCTTTGGAGAGGGCTCCCAAAGATTAAAAAAAGAAGAAGAAAAAAAAAAAATCTCTGGGCTGGAGAGATAGCCTAGCAGTTAAGAGCACTGGCTGCTCTTCCAGAAGATAGGAGTTCAATTCCCAGCACCCACATGGCAGCTCACTCAGATGTACATGGAGACAAAACACCAATCCACATGAAATAAAAATTTTTTAAAAAATCCCAATGAGTGCACATACATTTAAATAAATACTGGAAGAAAAAGAACTTAGGCTGGATGAGATCACAGGCAATATTTATTAATTTTACTCAAGGATGTTATGTTTTTACAAATAAAACTCGGAGACTGGAGAAATGGTTCAGTGTTTAAAAGCATTCATTGGTGTCCTTCTAGAGGACTGGGGTTCAATTCCTAGCACCCACCTGGCAGCTCAGAACCATCTGTATCTCCAGTTTCAGGGGACCCAACACCTTCTCCTGGCTTCTAAGAGCACCAGGCACACACATGGTACACAGAAATACTTGTAGGCAAAACACCCATACACATAAATGAATAAATCAAAAAACAAAACTCAGAAGTGCTGAAATACATTTATCTCAATGGCAAATAGAGGCCAGGAACTTGCACAAAGCAGGTACTCAAATGAATAACTTATTTCAAAAGTTTTAGTGTTATCTAAAGCTTAGAATTTCAAATCTTCAATTAACTAAAAATTAGAAAAATAACAACAACAACAAAAATAGACACAAAACTGTCTTACCATTTCAGTAATGAACTCTATGACGAGATCTTCGAGAATATCCACGGACTCGGTGTAAGGATTCTGGTCATCCCCAAACCCATACATCATACACCGTACTGTGAACGAAAGAGCTTCGATTACTCACAGACTAATCACTTTCACTAGAATCTTTTCCACAACAACCAGAATTAAACCTAATTATAAACAATGGTTTAAAGACAATTATGGCTAGTACTACATGGCTTTTTAATCCCAGCAGTCATGAATCAAAGACAAATCCATCTTAGTTCAGGTCCAGCCTGGTCTACACAAGACCATGTCTCAAACAAATTATTACAATTGTGTCTCCAAGATCTAAGCAGTCTTAGGACCAAGTCTTACTATTTAGCCTCCATAAATCTCCCTTCCTTCCAAGCTACTAAACCCTAATGTTATTATTTCTCTCATCTCTGTCTGTCTGTCTCCCTGTTACACAGGGTTTCTCTAGCCCTGGCTGTCTGTCCTGAACTCACTTTAGACCAGGCTGGCCTTGAACTCACAGAGATCAGCCTGACTCTGCCTCCCGAGTTCTGGGATTAAAGGCTGGGCCACCACACCTGGCACAATAGCTTAGCCTCTCCTGCAAATGATACGGAAGTGTGAGAGGTAGTGGAGCATTGGAAGAGTGAAGTCAGAAGGGTCTCCAACATCACCACAGGGGAAAGGGCAGGAGAGAAAGTGCTCCAATTACCTTCTTACAGGAAGAAACAGGCTAAAGCCCTTTCAGGCTTCATCTGAAAGAACAAAATATACAAAGGAGAAGAAAAGTCTAATTCAGAGTAATAAAAATAACTATAAATAGCTAAAACCTATTTAGTCTTTCCTATAGGCCAGATACTGTTTTAAGGCTTTTCATATACAATTCACTTAATTCTGAAATTAAGGCCTGTGTGACAGGCCTCTTTGATTTAGATACTATTGATATCCCTGTTCTGTAGCTGAAAAACTAAGGCACCAAGAAAAGTGACCTACCCCAAGGTCACACAGCTAGTTAAAAAGTGCACATTGAATGTGACCCCAGCTGATCTGTCTCACAGCAGTAATGCACTCCTTTGTAGCTTAAACAGATAGGACTCATAGGATGTTTAACCTGTCATGTATGTATTCCAATTACTCCACAGACAAGCGTCACACACTGTCTGTACACACACATTTCTGGGAAGAACTGTAATTTTGTCAGGTTTTCAAAAAGATATATAAATGCTCTCAACGCTTGAATGTTGTCCACCTTTGGAGGAAGAAAGGCATTTAAGACAGAGTGCCATGTGCCCCAGGCTCTCAATCTCCCTATGTAGCCAAAGCTGGACTTAAAATTCTTGATCTTCTGCTCCTACCTCCCACGTGCTAAGGTTACAGAGATGCACCACCATACTTAGCCTTTTGTTTGTGACAGTATCTCCCTATGTAGACCAGCCTGGCCCAGAACTCTCAATCCTTCTGCTTCTGACTCCTAAGTGCCAGAGTTGCTTTTATATTAATCTCAGAAGTGACCATAAGTATACACACATAAATCTGACCAGGTTGTTCTTAGGACATGCCCAATTTACTGTATGCAAGTTTTTTGTTTTGCTTTTGTGTTGTGTTTTTGTTTTTCAAGACAAGGTTTCTCTGTGTAGGGCCAGCTGTCCTAGAACTTACAAAAATCTACCTCCCTCTGTCTCCAGAAGTGCTGGGATTAAAGGCTTAGGCCACTATGCCCAGCCTCCAACTTTTTACAAGACAGGGTCTTACCATGTAGCACTAGCTGACCTGGAACTCAACAAACAGACCAGACTGGCCTGGAACTCAGAGATTTCCCTCCCTCTGCCTCTCTAGTGCTGGGTTAAAGGTAAGCACCACCATAACTAACTATAGAAAATTTAAAGATTAGAGTATACTTCTTTCTTTTTAATTTTATTTACATTGGTGTTGTGTTCTGCCTCTATGTATGTCTCTGTGAGGGTGTCAGATCCCCTGGGAACTGGAATTACAGACTGTTGGGAACTGCAATGTGGGTGCTAGGATTTGAACCCACGTCCCTTTGAAGAGCAGCTGGCGCTCCTAACTGCTGAGCCGTCTCTCCAGCCCTGGACTACACTTCTAAAAAAAGAAATAAGTATATTGTAATTCCTTTTACATTGTTTTTATTTCTATTATCATTATCAAATTAATTACTTGAGACGGAAGGGGTTGACAGAGTCTCTCCACATAGCCCAGGCTGGCCTCAAATTCATAACCCTCTTGCCTCAGTTTCCTGAGTATTGCGATTACAGATATGTATCACTATATTCTGCCTTAGAATAATTCCTCCTTAGAAGTAAAAGAGATGAAAGGAAAGGGGTGACTTGGAAGCCAGCATGGAATACTGTGTTCATAATGCCAAGACATTTTAGGTCCCTACATGGAAGGAAGAAAAGAACTATAGGAACCAATATTCTCTTTCTTTTTGAATTCTATTTTTAAAACTTGTCTTTTTAAGAGACAATTTTAGACTTACAAATGAGTTATAAAAATAGGAGAGTTCCCATATGCCCAGTATCTAGCCTCCCCTTACAACATTTATATAACAAATATTCATCCAAACTAAGAAATCAGCAGTATACAAGTACCTTATTCAGATTGTACCGATTTTTCCACTTGGTCCATTTTCTGTTGAGATTCCTTGTTTCTATCACACACACACCCCCAACACACACCAGAGCTTCACACATGGTAGGCAAATGCCCTTACCACTGAGCTATACTCCCTAGGCCATCAGACTCCACTCTAATAACCTGTTACACTTCTGTAGTTTTCTCCATCCAACCTGTAGAAACTCCTTAGCTCTTCCCTGTCTCTTAAGAGCGCAACAAGTACTTACAAAGAATCTTAGTCATATCTTGCAGACTGTTCTGTCTGCTGTCTTTTCATGATGATACTGAAGCTAGAATGCTTTTACACACTATTAGAAAGGACACCAAATCAAAATGTTATCACATCAGGGGTACATGCCAATATATCATTGACTAACTCTTGATCAGTATGTAAACTGTTATGATTTCCCACAATGAGCTGTTTTTTTCCTTAAATATTTGAGGACAATACCCATCATGAACATTTTCACCTATTTCATTGGGAATAGAAAACTTACATTATATAAGATGTACATATTTAGGGCTGGAGAAATGGCTCAGCAGTTAAAAGCACTAGCTATTCTTCCAGAGGTCCTGGGTTCAGTTCCCAGCAGCCACATGGTGCTCACAACCATCTAAAATGACATCTGATGCCCTCTTCTGGCATGCAGGCATAAATGCAGATAGAACAGTCACATACATAAAAATACATTGGAAAAAAAAAGATGTATTGTAGTGTTATTTATTTTGTGTGCCTGGCCCTTTTAAAAGAAACTATGCCCTTGAGTGTCAGTTGGCTCTGGGACTTCTAGGAATAGGAGAGGGTATAAAAAGTCAACAGAGGCTGAGAGAGATTGAGGAATAGGCAGGGGGAGGTCCCAGCTGGCAGAAGAGCAGGGTCAAAGAGCAGGGACAGAGAAGGCAGTTGGTGCTTGAAGAAGATTGAGTAGGGCTAGAGGAGAGGGAGAGGGAGAGAGAAAGAGGGAAAGGGAGAGGAGAAGGGAGAAAGGAGAGAGAGAAGAGGGGAGGAGCGGAGATGAGAGAGATAAAAGGGGAAGGGAAGGAAAGGGAGGGGAGGCAAGACCGAACAGAATGAAAATAGGAGACAGTTGAAAGTTAACTGGGCTAGCAGAGTGAGAAGAGAAGACAGCTGGTGACAGTTGAACCAGGAGAAGCTGAGAAAATATTGTTAGGAGACAGAAGAACAATGAAGAACTCACACAAAGTAGTGAAGAGAATAAAAAAAAAAAAAGACGAAAAGCTACATTTGGAGACCCATGTGGTGGCCTGTTTGTGGAAAAAGAAACATTAAAAGAGAAAAAAGCTACAAGGTACATATTTAGAAGTTGACTGTATTTGGTTAAAGGGTCAGTAAGGCATAGTATCAGAGCCATCACGATCTTAGACCCTTTACTGCTTGTATGTGCATGCACATCTGTGAATGTTTGATGAGTACCTCTGTGTAGTTCTGTGTTGTCTTATCACACGGGCAACTGCCAGCATTCAAAGCTATGCCCTCAGCCTCAAGATCCTCTAGGCCTAAGAATGCTTCTTAAAAAGCAAATGACAATGGAAACTGAAACTCTGTTACAATAACAAAAAGAAATCTTTAGAGTTAAGAGACTTGACTCAAGGAGTCAAGTTCCTACCCAGCATGCACAAAGCCCTGGGTTTGATCCCCAGCACTGAATAAAAAAAATCCCTGCACTCGGAACTGGAGGCAGTAGGATAAGAAATTCAAGGTCACCTTTATATAGCCAGCCTAGGCTATATAAAACCCTGTGTTAAAACAAACAAACAAACATGACCATACCTTTAATTCCAGTGCTCAGGGAGGCAGAGGCAAAAGGATCACTATGAGTTCCAGGCCAGCCTGGTCTACAAAGTGAATCCAGGACAGCCAAGGCTACACAGAAGAAACCCTGTCTGGAAAAACCAAAAAACCAAAAAACCAACAAAATAAAAATCCAGCCAAACAACCAAACAAAAAACAAGTAAGCAGGCCAACACAAACAGATATACTAGATATACTAATGTGGGGTGGGGGAAGCCCCAGAGGTCTGAAAATATACATACAAGTAACATTATACAGACAGAACAAGTCGTACTAACATATTTATTAACATATGTGTGTGTGTGTATATGTGTATACAACAATAACAAACGAAGCAATGAATTTGAAAGCACAAGGAGGGGTGTATGAGGGCTTCGGAGAGAGGAAAGGAAAGAAGGAAATGTGATTATATTTTTTCAAAAATGGCCCAGGGAGATAGCTTAGCAGGTAAGGGCACCTGCTGCCAAGCTTGAGGACCTGAGTTCCATCACTGGGATCCACGTGGTAGGACAGAATCATGGAGGCAAGAGGAACAGCAGTTTAAGGCCAACCTGGACTATATTGCAAGAGCCTGTCTGAAAAAACAGCAAAAATAGAGGAGAAATGAAGATTCTATTTGGTCAGCGAGAGAAGCCTGTGAAGATTCCAAATTTTTGTTATCACAAAGGTAAAGCAACTGAAACTTAAGATTTGGACAAGTAACAGTGTAAGCAACGATTCTGGAGTGCTTTGGTGTAAGGATCCTTTTCATATGCACCCATGATAAGAAGTAAAACCACATATAAGTTATGTGATTAGCACCAGGGAAAGAGAATAGGAAACGGTCAGACTTGAATGAAAATGAAAATACTGGAAAGGATATTTTTGTTGTTGTTTTGAGACAGGGACTCTCATAGGCCAAGCTGGCTTCAAACTCACTATGTAGCTGAGGATGACCCCAAACTCCAAATCCTTCTGTCCCTACCTCTCCCAAGAGCTGGGGTCACAGGTATGTGCCACCATGTGTAGATGGAAAAAGATTCATACTCTCAAAGGCTGATCTTGCGGTTTCAAGAATTTTTAGATACTACTGCACTCAGGCATTCCTAAGTGTATGTTGCTGTACTTATCACTGCTCATCCAAGGACCCCAGATGTGGAGATGGAGAGTACATTTCCACAGTGCCTTTCAGGAGTTGGTATGGGCATGACAAGAAGAAACACCTCGCTGCTGCCCCAGGGCCTAACTTGTCTGCTGAAGGCCTATGCCAGAAGGCTAGCACATTCCTCTACATACCAACTTTGGAGCCATCTTGACATATACGAGGCAGAGGGGACACACTTTTAATCCCAGCACTCAGAGGCAGAGGACCATAGCTCTCTGAGTTGGAAGCCAGCCTCGTCTACAAAGTGAATTCCAGGACAGCCAAATATACACAGGAAAACTGGATCTCAGAAGACACCCCCCCCCAAAAAAAAAAAAAAAAAAAAAAAAGCCAGGAGCGGTAGTGCAATCCTATAATCCCAGCATTGGGAAAGGTAGAAGCAGGTGGATCTCTGTGAGTTTGAGGCCAGCCTGGTCTTCAAAGTGAGTCCAGGACAGCCAAGGCTACACAGAGAAACTGTCTCAAAAAACCAAAAATAAACAAATAAAATAAAACCTTGCCTCAAAACCAAAACAAACAGGTGATCCTTTTTTATGTCACACACAGAATTAGGATAGATGACTCAAAAAACAGTTGTGTTGAACATATTGGGATTGCACCTATAATCCCAATACTTGAGAGGTGAAGGCAGAAGAACCACCACCAATCCAAACCTAGCTTGGGCTACACAGTGAACACCAGGGTAGCCTGGGCTATATTAAACACTACCTCCCCCCACATCTGCCTGACTCTGCCTCCCAATGCTAGGATTAAAGGGAGGAGCCACCCCTTCCCGGATATAAAAACTATACAAACACAACAGTCAAAACAGACAACTTTATAGGCAAGTCTTTGCACATTCAGAGAACAATAAATCTCCTTGGAAAGGATATCCAGAAACTTTTACCATCTATACAGAAGCATTGCAACGTAAGCACCACTTACATTCCTTGGAGAAAAGTCTCTTTCTTCTCCCCTGTCCACCTTCTGCTCCTCCTCCAATTTCTTCACTTTCCTCCTCAAACTAGAAATGTAAAAATATAGACACGTCAAACGATTGCGCTGCATTTAATATTCCAGTACTTCCCTTCCGTTCTCTCTTCCCTTTGGGGGGTGCTATAAATTGAACCTAGGAACTTAAGATGCTTAACCAGTGAGCTACAACCCCAGTACCAGACCATTTTCATTTTCATCTTTTTTTTTGTTTTTGAAAGACATTACTTGTGCACGTGTACCTATAGAGACCAAAATAGGGTATCCAATATCCTGGAGCCGGAGTTCCAGGTGACTGTAGGTTGCTGGCTGTGTGACAGTTAAGTGCTCTCTCTCTGGACTTTGTCTTTGAGACAAGGTCTCACTCTGTAGCCCTGTCTGCCTGGAACTCACTGAGATCCACTTGTCTCTGCCTCCTGAGTGCTGGGAATTAAGCTGTGCCCTATCATGCCCAAAGACCCCTTCTCGTTTTCAATAACAAGCTGAAGCAAACAGCATCATGAGAATCACGAAAACTTAGCATCAAGGGCTCTTAAGACCTAGTCGAATTCTCAAGTCATACAGGAAGGCTTCTATTATGGCCCCTGACAACCCCTCACCTTCTGTGTGTAAAAGTTCTTATGACCTCAGGTTCTGGGTTTTGTTTCAGCCAACTAAACTGTCAGGCGATGCTACTGTAACAGACCTGACACTGGTCATCAGAACCAACATTTACTAAGCACTTGTCAATACAGGGCTAATATTTCCTTAAGTGGGCCCGGCCCTCTCTCACGACAAGAAAACCTATGCCTGGAGTTAACTTGCTCAGAGAAAAAGGAGAATTTGGACTTCAAGCTTCCTGACTTTAGTTCATCGTTTCTGAGCTATCTTTTCTAGTTCCGTTTAGCAGCTGGGCTGCCGGTTCCGCAGTATAAACGAGGTGTCTCAAAGTGTCCGGCAGATCCAGCTCAAAGGGAGCCCTCTTCCACTCCTCCTTCCCGTCTTGCCCCGCGCACTAAGGTAAACTCGAGAAAAACACCGCGAAGCCCCGGAACGCTCGGCGGGATTCCCTAAGGAACACGCAGGTCAGACTCTGCACCCGCTAGTGGGCTCGAGGGAGCGAGGACTTCGGCTGCGCTCACTCACGGTGGGGTCTTCCTCCTCATCGGCCATCCTAGCGGCCCGCCAGCCTTCTGAGCCCGCCCTCGGGCCGCCAGCCGGCTTTATAGGATCCTGTGCGTCACTTCCGGCGGCCCGCCGCGGCTCCCGCACGAGTACATGTTCATTCTCTTAACCCGGGCTTCGAGATTGGCTCGAAAGCGGTGACGCGCTCGTAGGCGTGGAATCCTGGAGAAGGAATTAAACATTCCAAAGAATCTAGGGCGGGTGTTATGATCCTTTGCTAAACCCCTGCTCTATCTCAAGTTCAAGACCAGCCAAGGCTTTTTGAGCCCAAATTTGAGGAAACAAACGATAAGTTTGTGTATTTACATACCTGTAATTTCAGTTACAGGTGAATGAATTTTACAGTTACAGGCGATGAATTTTAACTCTGTGTGGGTACCCAAACCCACACAGACATACTTTTTTTTTTTTAAATATGATCTTTTCACATATATGTGTGTGTGTGTGTGTGTGTGTGTGTGTTTTGCCTGCATGTATGTGTACCATGTATGGACAGTGCCATAGAGGCCCAAAGAGGGCATCCGATTCCCTGGGATGGGAGTTAGATGATTGTGAGCGGCTATGTAGGTGCTGGGAAGCAAACCCAGGTCTCCAGAAAAGCAGCCAATGCTCTTAACCACAGAGACATCTCTCCTGCCCCGTTAATACGCATAACCTTTAAAGTATATAATAAATCGGGTTTGGGAGGTGGTGTTTCCTTTTTTTGTTTTTGTTTTAATTACAAAGGATGTCCTGGAGAAATGGTTCAGCCAGCAAAAGCTCTATCGGAGTAAGTCTGAACACCAGATTCAATCTCTGGAATCTATATAAAAGGTGAAAGGTGAGAAAACAGACTCCACACGGTTGTCCGCTGGCTTCCATACACAATAATAAAGAATTTTTAAATTAGTAAAGAGCTGAGTGTGGGGGTGCATGCCCTTAATCCCAGCCTGTGGGAACAGAAGCGGGGTGATTTCCGTGAGTTCCAGTCCAGCCATGGCTACATAGTTAAAACAGGAAAACAAAACAAACAAAAAAAAGAGACATTACATGTGTTAGAAAGGTTGCAGCATAGAAAAAGTGGGACTAGAGCATAAAGGAACAAATAAAAAGCAAAGGCCTGTGGAAGGGCCACTTATGCTAGCAGGCCATAAACTCTGAAGGATGGATAATTCAACCTCTTAACTTGAACTCCAAAACAAAGTGAAAAACACAACAAAACTGGAGTGTGATGAGCAGAGCAGACATAAAGCAGAGTGAACAGCCCTGCTGTACTCCTACAAGGAGTTCAGAGTGGACCTCAGAGTCAAGCTTAGAGTTGGAAGGGAGATGTCGAATGACAGAAAAACATGTCTCCTGGCCAGCCATTACTGAGGGTGGACAGGGTTCAGAGGTCAAGAACCTACAGAAATGAATTACTTTGGTTTCGGGAACTGTTGTTTAGCCAAAACGAGGGATCTTTACAAAATGGAGTGGCCCTGGCTGACGGTTTTCTCTGAATTGAAATATTCCGCACAGGAGGAAGAGGGGCTCACATCTCACATATCTGGGAGAACAGAAACTTAGAAGATTCTTGAGGGCCTGGCCCCACCAGGTTAAAATGGAATAATTAACAACTGGGGGAGGAGACTGAGCAGCCGAACTCGTAAAGAGAAGAGAGTCTCAGGCAATATAGCTGTTTACCAGCTGCACACAGAGCTGCGGGGGTGCAGCCTTCTGAGTCGCCATCTGTGTCTAGGGGAGCTTTTCTGTGATCGACCCTCGTATGTACGTAGCTCATCACCCATAATCTTGTTGGTTTGCCACATTTGACACCGGTGCGATTGTTACTTGGGTTTGTTGTTGAGTCTGCCACACAGCATTCTTCCTCACAAAGTCTGACATTCCAGTTCTACGCAACCACACTCAACTATCCGTGCAATAATCTTCAAGTTTTTTTGCATTGTTTGTGTATCGTGTGTATCTGTGCAAACGTGCCACGGTGCTTGTGTGAATGCCATCTTGCAGGAATTAGTTCTGTCCTTTCACTGTGTGGATTACGGGGACTGAACTCAGGCTGTCAACCTTGGCAGAATGTGCCTTTATCCAGTGGGCCATCTCCCGGGCCCTGCGACAAATAATTGGCAAGCAGCTGCCAAATATTCAGCATCAACAAAATGAGAAACAGTGCAGGTGAACCTTATAGTGTAACAGGCTATTGGATTTGATAACACACATTAGAAGCTTATACTGGGGAATGGGACCCAAGGTCAGAGGAAGCCTCCTTCGAGCAGATGGGGATTCAGCTAAGGCCTGAGAGATGCATGGAAAGAGCTAGTAAAGAAGAAGGCAGTGGGAGACAGACTCCTTTTGAATTTTTCCTCTCCAGCTTTTGGTCATAGTCTTTTCCCACTGGAATGTTTTCCTGCCTTTTGAGACCTTGCATGCTTTTCAGTCCCAGTGAAATGTCTGCTGTTTATAAAGCCTTCTCTGACTGAAGGCAGTTTCTCGTTCCTCCCCCAGCACTTAGTTTTCATTTTTCTTGGCCAACTCTCACTCTCTGCTTCATTTTCTGATTGTTTCTATATGCAGCTTATCTGTTTCTACTAAAGCCTAAGCTCACTAAGAACAGTCTGTTTCTCATCCATCTCCTGACTCCCTAAGGTTAGCGCATTCCTTACACTTAGACGGCTGAAAACAAATGTGTGGAGCCTTGACATCCCTTTTAAAGAATTTCCATTCAGATGAAGCTATTGTTGCAAGCTGTGCCTTCAGGACTGAACTTATTCTTGGGTTAAACCAGAATGCTCTGGTCATGGTCCCCAAGACTGATTGGCATTCAGCACAATGACCACAAACAATTGTAACAAACAGGCCACTGTTCTTGGACTGACAGGCATTTGGCAAGAACTGCCAGCTCTCCAGTGTCAGCTGAAGCGAACTGATGAAGGAGCATAAATTGAGGCGCCCCAGTCCAGTGGGGCTCTATTTATCCCTTGGATCTGTGCTCTAAGAGCCAGTGACCCAGGCTTTAGCCTAATGTGAAACATGTCTGCAGGAGATTGATGGCACCGAGGCTGCTGGGGCTTCTGGCAAAACAGAAACATAATGCTTGGGATAAGATCATCGAAGATCAATATGGATGAAGAGCCCTGAAATGTGATACAATGCAGTAACAAGCACAAGGGAGCTTTGAGGCTACACAGACGTAGGTCCAGATCCCAGCTACCCACAGGCTCTCATTCATGAAACTTCTTTTAGACTCTCATTTGGTTTTTCTCATTTCAAAATATTCTGCAGATAGCTCGGCGTGGTGGCGCACACCTTTTATCCCAGCACGCAGGAGGCAGAGGCAGGTGGATCTTTGTGAGTTTGAGGCTGGCCTGGTCTACAAAGCAAGTGCAGAACTATACAGAGAAACCCTGTCTTGAAAAACCCAAAATAAAAAATAAAAAAATATATATTCTGCAGATATTTTACAAAATGTCACATGTACAATGACTGTCTGCTCTTAAACCTGTTTATTCAGCAGTCTTACTCAATATGTTTTTTTCTCTTGGGGGCAAGAACTTATTTTTGCTTCTATTTCTGCAAAATATAGCAAGTGGCCAACATATCATAGATATTGGTAAATACTTTTTAAACAAATGAGTGTCACCAACAGTGGCTAGTGTTGATGGAGTAATGCTTCGTGTCAGCTATTATGGTAAATAGTAGTTTCTTAATCAAATAACCCTAGAAAGGATTTACCATTTTAATGACATTTTACACAGGAGAAAACAATATGTTTGTATAAGCTGATGAAATGACCGCTTCCTGGTATGGGAAGCTTTTATTGTAGATATCAGAGAGAGAACAGCCAGAGGCATCTGGAAAAGTCCAGAGCAGAGAGAGAAAATAGTAGACGGAACGTGGCGAGAAGACTGGGCATAGCCAGGACGAGGGAAGCAGGAAGAAGTAGAGAAAGCAAGTGTGAAAACAGTAGGTGCAGGAACCAAAGGGGAAAATAGTAAAAATAGCCGGGGTTCAAGAAGGATCAGTAGCTGTCAGGAGAGAAGCCCTGAGCTGGAGGAAGTTTAGAGTAGGAGAGGAGGTGAGAAGGATGAGGATGCTAGCTGGCATGGGTGTGTGTAACAGGTACTTGTGATACTGAGGGAGTCTGGAGGCCAGCATGTGCTTGGATTGCTAGGAAATGGCTCCTTTTGATAGACTGTAACAAGGTTTACAAATTCCTGAGGAATGCTGGATTTTATCTGACTTCTAGAAATCCTCTCGATAGTCCAGGTTGAGCTCATTTCTAGATATTTGGATTGCTTTTGGAGTTTGGGAAATTTGGACCTGACAGACATATATTCATGCATGTATATATATAATTCTGTTGAGTCAGGATCTACTCAGCCCTGGTTGGCCTCAAATTTGCTATGTAGACCAGACTTGTCTTGAATTCACAAAGACTGCATTATCTGCCTCCCAAGTGCTGGGATGACAGGCATGAGCCACTATGCCCAGTTGGTGAGGAGACAGAAACTAGTCAGGTAGTTTTAGGGTAAGAACCCTGTTTTTGTCATTATTCTGTTGCTGTGAAGAGACACCACGACGGTGGCAACTCTCAGAAAGGAAAGCATGTAGTTGGCTTGCTTACAGTTTCGGAGTCTTTGTCCATGACCGTCACGGCAGGGAGCATGGTGGCAGGCATAGTGCTGGAGAAGTAAGATCTAAGTCCTGATCCATAGGCAGAGAGGGTTTGGGGGGGCTGTGCCTGGGCATGGGGCAGCTTTTTAAACCTCAAAGCCCACCCCCAGTGACACACCTCCTCCAATATGGCCATACCTACTAATCCTTCTGAAAAAGTGTTACTCCTTGACGACTAACAAATTCAAATGTATGAGCCTATGGGGGCCATTCTTTTTTTTTTTTTTCCTAGACAGGGTTTCTCTGTGTAGCCTTGACTGTCCTGGACATCTGGCCAGGCGGGCTTCGAACTCACAGAGATCTGCCTGCCTCTGCATCCCCCAGTGCTGGGATTACAGGGGCGCAATGGCTCTTCTGTTAAATGAAGCTTCCTGCTTTGGAAACACCTGAACATTTTGTGTGTGCACCAACTGAACAGACCTCCTCCCAACACTTTGCCTTAGTTTCAGCCATCAGTGATTAAAATCCTCCAGGCTAGCAGCTTGATGGTGGGAGCTCCGCTTCCTGGTGCCCACCCCTGCTTCTTTCCCTTATGTTTCCTGTGATAAAACTTTTAAACTCACCCTCTGCGAGATGTGAATTTCTTTTTTCAAATTCACAAAAGGAGAATCTGAAGCCACTGATTCGATGAGCTCCTGGCACCTTAAGTCCTGGATTGAAACATACCTGAAGCAAGAGACAAAACTTGCATCAAACTCAAGGACAGCACTTCCCCAAAGTATTTTTATTGAGCATATTTTTTAGAATATATAAATCTTGTTAAGCAGGATATCAAATTATGAATTTTCTGTAAAAGTGATAGTTGAGGTCAGCAAAATGGCTCAGAAGGTAAAGGGGCTTGGTGCCAAACCTGACAATGTTGTTATAAAGAAAAAAAAAAAAAAGCAATCATTCAATTTTACCAATAAAGACTGAGGAGTCAGATGCTGGGATTAAAATTTACTACCTCAGAGAGGCAGAGAAAGCGCCCAGCTGATCTTCCTACTCAGCCAAGGTCCCAGAAGGAAAGAGCCTTTCCACTCAGCCAAAAGCCCTAGGCCAAGAGCTTGCTAGCTCAGCTGACAGCCAAGGAGAAAAAAAAACTGAAAGCTAAAAGCTAAATAGTTCCTTCTTCTCCATGCTGTTTTAAATACTCTTCTCTCAAAGTCCCTCCTTTCTACTTAATCCCTGACAGCTAGTTTCTTGCTCCTCTGTCTATTGACCTACGGTTAACTTTATTAAATCCTGTGTACAGAAAGCTCTTGGATTAAAGTTATGTGCTAGGGCTGGGCCACTCACCATAATCACCTGTTAACAATAAACAAAGTTCTTGGGTTAAAGGTTAGGGCTGAACCACAACAAATAATAAACCGGTTGTTAGAGTTCACAAACTCAGGGTTCACAGTGGGGTCAAATATCCTGCATCAACCAGAGTTTAGTCCCTGGGTAGCACATGGAAGAAGGAGAAAACTCACTTCCCCAAGTTGTCTTCTGATCTCTATATGTGCACACACACACACACACACACACACACACACACACACACACACTGAATAAATATATTTAAAAGGAAAGTGATATTTCAAGCCATGGAGCAGAATGGAGTTAATAATGAGAAAAATGGACTCTGTTTACAGATATATTAAGAAAAAGTGAGAAATAACTTCAGAGAATGGGAGGGACTTCAAGGAAGAAAGCCCCCTTTCTTTTCTTTGTTTTACACTTCTGGGTTTGAACCCAGAGCCTTGAACATACTAGGCATATGCTTTACTACTGAGCTACATCCTAGCCCTTGTTCTGTATTTTGAAATGAAGTCTTACTACATGGCCCAGGGTGATCTGAATCTCTCTCTCCCTCTCTCACTCTCTCTCTCTCTCTCTCTCTTACCCGAGTTGGCCTCTAACTTGACATCCTTTTACTTCAGCCTGTTTTGTTTTATTCTTTTTATGTGTGAGTGGTTTGACTGCACGTATGTATGTGTACCACAAGCCTGCTTGTGTGTCCACAGAATCCAGAAGACCAGTGTGGGGCTGATGTAGAAGAAACTCAAAGTAATAAAACTGATGTTATAAAGGACTTAGTAATAGATTTGCTTGGAGGACTTTAAGTCACACAAGTGGAATTTAGCTAAAGAAACACTGCTTCCAAAATACTCAAAGATAAGTCGCGTGCTACCCAGGCCTGGTAGGTAATTTAAGATGCTAGGACGTAATGTTTATTCATCAGGGATGACCTGTTGCCAATAGGTCGTTTCTGCCATTAGACATACCTCTAAGTGGGTAGCTCAAGAGGGCATGCTAGGGTCATAACCACCATTAAGTCCTGGTCTGCAACTAATTCCCCATGCTCTTAACAGGAAAGACATAGTTCTGCCAGGTGGACAAGATAACCCGGCTAACAGCTATTCGAGAAAAACCAGTACTGGTATAGTTAAAATAATGCTGGCAATAGGTGATATTTTTGCTTTGTAAATCTCTTATGTGCCTAAGTGGCTAGACTTGAAGTCTCTTCTCTCTGCTTAAATTGATCAAAGTGTAACCTGGGGCTGGGACCTGAAAGAGAGTTAAGCCTGACAGTGCTTGTGGACTGCATAAGCCAAAATATGAGTTAGTGAGATCTTCCGTCAAGGCCAACTCCAGTTAGGCATCACCCACAGTGGGCCAGGCACCTTCCTGCAGAGTTTTCCCTTCATCTCCAAGTGGGAGGAGCAATTTCTCAGTAGGAAGGCATATTGTTTCTGTAGCAGGATCTCCTGGAAGAAGAGGAAGTTGTGAGCCATCACTCTGGTGTTGGAAACCTAACTTCAGCTCTTAGCAAGTGCTGTTGGCCAGTGACCCACCTCTATAATCCTATCTTGGTTTGTGGAAAGCCCACACATGTGCAGTCCGAGTGACTGTATTAGCGATTACATTCGTCTTTTTCTAAGTCTCTTCTATTTTTTGATGCTGTAATTTCCTAAGGACTCTTTCCTACGTTAAACTTTGTTGTAGCTGTTGCTGCTGCTGCTGGTTTCCCCCTCCCCTTGACTCTCTCCATTCCAAACCTTCACAGCCAGCAGATGGCAGTGTTAGCAGGAATGGACAGAATTCCTAGGTTTTTGACGGCCGCGATCATGATTGAGTGCAGCACTATGAGGGAGACTCAGTAAAGCAGACGGATCTGTCTATAATTAAAGGTCCTAGTTTACAAAGCAGAACCCATACCTTTGTCTCCTGCATTCCACACCATCATTTCATCATCTTGTCAAAACATCCCCAGAGAAGCCATGATAGGGCAGATTTCTGAATAAAGTGGCTGAGGTGACTTAAATTCAGGAGATAAACAAACCGTCTTGTTAGTTTAAGGAAAATAAAAGCCCATTCTACAGGAAGTCGTCCGAATGGCTCTGACTACGGAGAGCTTTAAGATCTGAAATACGTGGTTTTGGTTATAAAGTTCCTTATTTTGTTTACTAAAGTCAGACTCAGCTTGGCTAGATTTCCACCAGGAGAAGCCACTCAGCAAAGGGCAGTCCCAGAAGTCTGAGCAACTACTGCTGCGTCCCTCTCCTTCCTCAGACTCTTGTTGGGTTTCAGATGCTACAGAACACAGTACTACTGCACAGCACAGAAACAAAACAAAACAAATGTAAAACAAAACAAAACAAAAACAAATTGTGTCCCCCCAGAAGACAGGTTCAAGGCTCCTGAAGGGGTGTTGTTTTCACCTTGCTTTGGTAAGATGAAGTGACCCTGCCATAGTATACACGTGAGCTACCTCATGTGCGGTTCCTTAGAGAGTCAGCCAGCTTCCCAGTGTTTTCTCTTGAAACTGTATCTGATTTTTCTTACCAGTTGTGACACACACACACACACACACACACACACACACACACACACACACACA